TAGAGCTTGTGTTGGCAGACATTTGGGTCAAATGATGCAAATGATAGCTGCAGTAGAAAATTCTAGTCGACAATATCCAGGACAAATTTAGGTAAATTTAAGATGTGCATACAAATTGTAACAAAAAAATACATAATAAATTAGCATTACATATTTATTATAGTAACAAAATATGTGCCAATAAAATTAAATAATAATTTAAATTTATTCAATTAAACATTTCAAAAAATATATGAACTGAATATATAACAATATATAGATATTCAATATAAAATAGGTCTAACATTTTATGGGATTACATTTATCCTTTTTGGCATATTTGCTTTTGTCATATAGCATAGTCTTGAAACGTTCTTTGCGTTTTGCTTCCATTCTGTTACGCCGAAAAAAATCTCTTTTATGCTCTATTGATGTTGTAACGTCTTGACAATCTTTTGATGGAAAAATTATTGTCCAGCCACCAAATATTGTGTCAATACCGCCACAAGTACGACAAGAACCTTGAAAATGATAAAGCCAATAAAAATACTATACTAGAATTGATTCAATTTAATATTAATATAAATACCAATAAATGTCGCCATTATTCCAGAATGTGCAGACTTACTTTCAGTAAACATATAAAATGGTCCACCGTATTGATTCATGGTACTACCCATAAAAGACCATTCTGCATCTATGACACTATGATGTTTTGGTGGAACACGTTCGCTAACTACAATGTGCAAATCTTTATTTTCCTTTTCAGGTTCTCCCAATGTACGTGTCGTTTTTGTCAGTGATAATTCAAAATGTACACCCATTACATAGGAATTCCATGAGCCTGCTATATCACAAGGTGCTCCTGTAAGATGCATAATTGTATTAGTATTTGAGAGTACATTATGTAAATATAAACAAATACAATATTTATATATATGTATATATATATAAAATAAGTTATTACAAGTGTTTATGTTGTATTGTTTATGATTGGTTTAGTGTTTTTGTTATTAAAATAATTAATAGTTTTTAAAATATATTGTTCTTCCCGTTGCTCTATTGTTCTTTTCTGTTTTTGTAAAGAAGTTCCCGTTGAAACATTATAGCAAACAAGTTCCTAAATAAGTTTAAGTAATAAATAAATAATAAATAAATATAAGGTTAGATTCCATAGCATTTTGGTAAATCAATATTAACAAAAATAAAATCATTTTAGTGACAAAATTATATTAGAAATGTAAAACATTTAACTTTTGTTAAATATGAACAAAAAAAAAACGTAAAAACAGTCTTTTTTGCTTTTCTTTACATTCATAATTTTTAATAATTAAATTTAATGAAAAATGGCTTTTCTATTCTAAAAAAGTAGAATTCCATTGGCAATGTTTAGTAGACGCCCAAAAGAACAATAGAGTAATACGAAAGAACTAAAACATTCAGCAATATTTCAGTTGTTCTCTTCTTTTGTGTTCGTGAAGTTTACGGGAGTGTGATTAATTATATTTCAAGATTTCAAGGATTGTGATGTATTATTTTGCGTTATGATAGAGTATTAGAACATTTTTAATTTTTCTTGTTTCTTAAAATTTTTTAAGAGTAAGTAAAAGTTTCTACTAAATGATCAAAAAATGTATTAAATAAAATATATAATGCTTGATATATATATCACAGTGTAATTACACTAATCACAGTGTATATAAAGAACTTTAAAACGCAAAACCTAAGGTAAAATTGGATTGAGGAATATTTCCATATCTCTCTTACAGAGTTGTGTGCTTTAATAAATATTGTTGTTAATTTTTCACAATTAAACGTTTGTATCAGAGAATATCTCCTTTGGTTTATATATATATTTTGTAGGTTTTTACATGACAACTGCAAAATATAAGGTCTGTTCCACAAGCTACTCGTAGTAAATTTTCTCAGCAAATTTTCGATTAAATGAGAGTATTTCAGAAAGCGTAACATCCCTGTCGTAATTTGAAAATTTTATTTCAACTAAAATTTGTGTTGTGTGTGAATCAGCTGTTTTAGTTTGAATTTAAATTTTTGTATTGTTTATTTGCGCGGCACTGGTGTTCTCACCAGACTTCATGCAAAGCTGTTCCATGAAAATCTGTGTAAAGAGCGAAATTTGACACTTTATTTGTGTTACGCTCTCAGTTTGTACTTTACTTGTGTTTTAATTGAGTTTTACTACGAATAATTCGTGGAACAGACCTATAGCGTATTGCATTTATGCTATATACTGAGCAAAGATTAAACCACGAAGACTGAAGTAGTAAGTAATATACTGAATAATATTAATTGTTATAAATATGTTTTTATTTTAATTAAATTTTTTAATACTTTACCATCACAGGATAATGTTTTGTGTTCTATTTTTTTATTCTTTTCACATTGAATGCGCTCTAATTTACTTAATACTTTATCTAAAATATAGGATGCATCCCTGCATTCATCCTCTGAAGTAGGAGCGTCACATTTAGAGAGTTCATCCGCGGCTTTAGTGGTTTTAGAGCTACTATTTTTGGCTTTCCTTTGACTATTATTGACTACATAATACAACATCAATTTATTTGAAATTATTTTATAAATATTGAATAACATTTCAGTACTTACCTGACTTAGCTATATTTTTTTTAAGATCAGTATTAAATTTTGGATCTGTCTTTAAGTTTATCTGTGGGTCCATAGTAGCCGTAAGTTTTCGAGCTAAGTCCAATGTAGTCGTGTTCATTTCCCTCGCCACATTTTGCAAAAGGCTTCCTGCTTGAGACATAGTTGTTAAATCATTAGTATTTGTGGTTAACACTGCAGGAAATGCATCGTTAATACTTTGAATGATTCGAGTATCGCAGCGCTTCTGTACATTAACCAAATTATTGTTATTGTCCAAGATTCGACGTTTTTTAATGGACTTCTTTTTCTTTTGAGCGTTGATACTATTCAATTCCATCGATAAATCATTACGTTTTGCAATGATATCTTCTTTACTCCAAGACGAATCAATAGATTTTTTTGCATTCTGTTTAGATGACACGTACATATCATCACTGACTACATTGTGGCGTTTCTTAAAATCATCCCACCAGTTATCAATGCTGCTTAAAGTGTTTTTGATGTCTTCCTTTGAATTGTCTTTTAAAGGCGCACTCTGAGATACTTTTAGTTTGTTTTCTATAGTATTTCTCTGTTTTTTTAAACTAGAGTCAGTAAAACTTTTCTCAGATTTAATTTCTTTAGCCGATTCTTTACTATCTTTTACATTAGATTCGAGTTGCTTGGAGTTGAAATATCTGTCTGTATTCTCCTCCGAGCCTTTTTTTGTGTCGTACTTTCTTAATTTGTTTAAAATATTTTTCATCTCTTTATCCTGTTCTGCACGCCATTTACTTTTAGCAATTACATCGGAAGATTCATTAATTCCTTCTATAAATTTTTGTACATTAAAATCTTTTAAAATATCGTTTATCACCTTACGTTGTTTTGTGTATTCCGAAGGCTTGTTCTGCTTTGGTGCTTTGGTATTTTTACTATTTTCAACAAAATTTTTGTTGTTTACTCTCTTAATCAGTTCATTGACTTCGTTTTCATCCACATCTACATTAGTTTTGCCTGAATCTAAACTTTCGTTTGAGTTCTCGTCTACTTTTTTATTTTTATCTTGATCTGGACTTTCATTTGTACTATCCTTATCAACTGAGTTCTCTAATAGCTTTTTTGTATTGAAATCTTTAAGTATGTTTTGAACGTCTTCATCTTTATCTTTTTCAGAAGAAGTTTTCTGGGAAGATTTCGATTTTCGAATATGAGATACTTCACTAGTTTTCTTATTATCTGATCTCACCTTATCTGCATTTCTTTCTGATTTTACTTTGGCTTTGTCTTTATTATGGATTTCAGTTGATTTCTTTTTTTTATCAGCTTCATGAAGATGCATAATGTAGTCTTCGTAAATACTTTGCTTCATAGGAGAAGCCTTCTTTTTTTTAATTGGATCTGTTTTTTGCTTAAGTTCTTCTTTGGGGTTAAGTTCAAATCGTTTTTTAATCTTATCAATAGTTTTGTGAAATTCCGCTTTAAGAGTAGGAATAATCGCAGAACGTTTTTGATCTTTATCGTACTCCATTGGATAATTATGTGCAAGCAGTGACGGATCCTTAAATGTCAACTCGCTTTGTATTTGATCCAGACGCTTTTTGAACACATCGTAGAGATGACCGTTGTAACCGTTTTCTTCGGATTCTTCAAAACTTTTTGTTTTGATTCCAGAAGCAATTAAAAAATAAGCCGAAAATAAAAGCAAAACTAGAAATATTTGTGAGTAAAAGACATTACTAACCATTTCATTTTGTAAGAATATTTTTTAATATTGATAGAAACTTTTATTTTATTTTTCTATTTAGACATTTAAAACTTTTGATGTATTTTAAAAACTTATTCAATTATAGGAAATAATTCATCCCAAATTTTATACCGGTCTTGATATATACCACCGGTTTTTGTTACAAGCTCTGTTCCAATATCCAAATACTCCTTTTGTTTTGCAGTATATGGAGTCCAATTTAAATTTTTCAAAAATTGATCTTCGTGGTTGTTAGGATCACTAAAAAAGAAAGGAATTAGTTAATACATCTGAAATACAAGCATACTAAGTCAGAAGAAAAAATGACAATAATATTTTTAAATCAAATACATCGTATTTAAATTTTTGTATAAAATATCGAGCAAACAACTAAATATATATTTTCTTTGCAGTCTATTATTATAAGTATTTCTGAGAACACAACACCGAAGAGAAACACACGCATTTCTTAGGATCACCATGCTAAATTTTAATAAGTTCGCTTAGGGTGTTTATTAAACCGATTTTTTTATTACTTGAATATCGCGATTCAAAAGTAGTATATCTATACGTATAAACGTAGTATATATATATAGTATAGTATAACGCACGAATAAAGTAAAATTTTCTATTATAATTATATATTTACATAACAATATAATAATTGAATTATCTGAATTTACCCTTTTTTAGCGAATTCTGTCCACATTCTTGTCAAACGTTCAATTGTGTCGTTTTCCACATCAGTTTCTTTAAACATGGGTGTTAAACCTGGTACATGTAAAAGATACAAAAGTTCATCATGATGTACAGGACCTAAAAATGTCATTAGCTATAGTATAAAATCTGAAAATAATGGAAAAGAGCATACCGTAAGTTTGGTTTTGTGCATCCCGAAATATACTATAACGTCCTTTATATGTAAAGATGTATGTGTAAACGGGTACAAAGCGTGATACCAATGTCAAAAAGCGGTGGTACCCAAATCCGATAACAGCATCACTAAAAAGTTTTCCAAAGTCTTTGAGAGAGTCAGGAAAACGTAAAGTTTCATTTCTTAAATATTTCGAACGTAATGTTTTACTGATTTCCATAGATTTTGGCGTGCCTCGTTCGTACAGGAAAGCAATCGGTGCATATTTTTCAAAATTATCATTATAATATTGAGTTAATGTGGCATTGATTAAAGTGACTAAATTAATCAAAAAAAAAAAAAAAATTGATTAATACCTGTATAAATATAAGATTCACTTTACTAACAATACGCTGTATACATGAATTCCAATTCAGTAATCCCTGTTATTAGAGGAACTTTATAAATATTTCCACTTAGCATTGTTTTGTATGGATCTTCAATTAAATAGCGCTCTTGTCCGAAATCTTTTTCTATTACTGGTTTCCAATTTAGAATTGGCTGTCCATTGAAATCGAACATATCATCCATTGAATTTACAAAATCCAACATTGGCTTCTAAAAATTTATTTTGTTTAATTGGTTGTATTTAAATTCATTGCTAAATTATATGGTGCCAATAACAATATTAATTGAAGAGCAAATTTATTAGGTCTGTCTTCAAATTTTTCCTACTCACTTGTTTCAAACAATCCGTTAGTTCCTTTACTGAATTTGTTGTACAATTCAAAAGCTGTGCTTGTCTGTTTGCTAAATCAATTCCATAGTATTCATAATTTAACTGCGATAGTGGTGATGCACTCATTGCTATGCCGCGATGAAATAAACCTTTTGCCATTGGAGATAACATGTGGAGACCAATACTTAGGCTACCAGCACTATAACCAAATAAGGTCACTGAATTTGGATCGCCACCAAAATTTTTTATATGACTCTGTATCCAACGTAAAGCCATCACTTGATCCTTTAAGCCAGCATTACCGGGCGCATCCTCATTACCGGTAGCTAAAAATCCCAACGTACCTAAACGATAATTCATTGTTACAAAAACAATGTCGCGATCCATTAAATTTTGGGGACCCGCAAAATTTTTACTTTGACCGGATACAGCATAAAATCCACCCGGATGCAAGTATACAACCACTGGCTTAGAAGCATTTAAATCTCTGGTGTATACGTTTAAGCGAAGACAATCTTCTGATAAATCTGATTTATCTTCATTTTTTTGTGGACACATTGGTCCGTCAATTGTTGCATCAAAAATAACTGGAGACCATGGTTCTACAGGCAATGGATTTTTAAACCGAAGATGTGCAACAGGCGGCTGAGCATACCGTATGCCACGAAAAGCAAAAAAGCTTTTACCTAAACGCGATTCAAGAGTTGTGCCTTGTATTTGCCCCAAATCTGTTGAAACTTCTATTGACTCTGAAGACACATACTTTATTAAAAAAATAATATATATAAAAATTAACATTTTTATTGATAATTTTTGCAGTTTATGTATTCGCTGAAAGTTTAAGTTTGACTGAAGAAATTCACATTAAATATGGCCTTTTATAACATTTGAGTAAATTTATTCTTAAAAAGTGCTGGGAATTTCCCGGTAAATAAGAGTTTACATTTATTTTAGTATGCACAGATATGAGTACCTCACCATATAAATAACTAATAAAAATAAAATTTATAAATCACAAAACAAAAATATTTAATAAAAAATCTGAATTTTGTAATAATTTTTTAATTACATTGAACTTATTTTAAAAGCAAACGGCTTAATTACGAATTACAGTCTTGGCACTGTTTGGTTTAGCTGCCGTAGAAGCAAAATTGTACTTATCTCACGGTGAAGGCGTGTTAAGGGGCAGCTATAAATTTAGTCAATAAAAAAGTAAAAAGACACTACTATTAATTATTTATTATACGGTATTTATATAAATGTATTTACTAAAAAAGTTTTTAATGAATCTGTTGCCACTAAATCTAGAGTAAAAAAAATATGTCGGTGACTGTACCTACAGTACTTCATAGTGATTTTAGATTGAAAAAATGAATTTTATAAGATTTACTTATTAATGTACTTTTCGAGTACTGGATTCATTCGCTTATTTCTATAGTGTTGAATGCATTTTACGATTTTCCACTTCCATCAAGCTCTTTATCTCCTCCGTTATCTTAGTCATTATAGACCATCTCAGTTTTTATCTATTTTAGATATTTCAGTTTGTTGAATTGTCAGTTTGTTGAATTGTCACTGTAGACTTATGGGTTAATGATAATGTGTAAATAATTTGATTTATCACATTTTGTAATTCATTTTATTATTTTTGTTATACTTTCCAATAGTATACACCAGGGCTGCCTAAAAAATAGTCCGCAGATCACATGTGATCTGCGGTTACTGTTTGTACGGCCCACGGCATGTTTTTAATCTATTACAATTACGAAAATTTTCTTTTGGTGTGATGGTAAGCCTACATTATTTTATTTTTATGGTATACCAAATAAATGAATTAAAATTGATAAATTAATAAAACTAAATTTAACATTATAACCGCGTTTTTATTTTTGTCGAAAAGAATTATGAACGTATGTTCATAATTGTTTTAGCGGCCATTTAATCTGTACAGTGATTTGTAGTGACCCGCGACCGCATCAGGTCTGTACAGCCCTGGTATACACTGTTATAGAAAATGCTGTTCTATAGAAATCAGTTGAGCTGTACAACATCAATTTTGGAAAAAAGTCTTCTCTTCGAAGTATACATTTTAAAATAACAACTATCAGCTAGCAGGAAACTTAAAAGTAGTTTTTTTATGTGAATTTTTCTAACATTGATTTAAAAGTCTAAATCTAGCGCGAAGGACCTAATAGTCTATGCCCCTATTCGTAGTTATCTTTAAAATTAATTTTAATGTTAGCTTACAAATAAATAAATAAAAGTCTGCTTTTAAATAGATTTTAAGACTCACGAAAACATAGCCATCGTTACTGATAATACCTTTTAAAATATTAAATACTAAAGTATAAGAAAGTATGTTGCTTGTAAATCAGGCTACCTATTGGTTACCATTGGATGTGACCAATAACGATACACGTCTGTAAAGGCTGATTAACGAAATAAGTAAACTTATTATATTATATGCAACAATAAGACTTAAAAAACATATATATTATTTTCTAAATTTATTGGTTCATCTAATAAATTCCGAAGAAATTTATTATATATGCGACCTATTCGGAATTATCAAAGATTAGCTGTACACTAGAAAACCATAATATTCGAACAATACTATGCACGTTTAATAAAACAGCAACAGTAAACAGTTAGTTTTAAAATAGTAAAAAGTAAAATAGCAAATACTTTAAAAATTTAATACTCACTATTTAATAATTAAACGAATTGAAAAGAATATGTCAAATACAACTCTGCCTAATGCAGCAACTAACTTCACAGATCGCGGCGAACGGACGCTTGTATCTTTGTGCTGTAAACGCCGTTAAGACGCAAAGCTGCGACATTAGTCCAGGTGTTTTCAAATTTGATTAGAATTTTGTTTTATTTTGAATTTTTTAAATTATCTAATATCAAAAATATATTTTTATATTTTTGATATATATATATACATTTAACAGAAGTAATCGACTCACAATTTAAATATTTCGAAAAATATAAATTAGTTTAAATAAAACTGCAGCGAAAAGGACCAAACAAGAAATCTAAAATGGCGCCAACAAAGAGTACCCGTGCAATTCCCAAACAAGCATCTGCCATACCTAGTGACGAGCATGTCTTACCTATGATTCGAAAAGGTCTACCCAGACGGACAGCCCAAAATATAGTAGATCAAAATATGGACATGGCCCAGACGCGTGGTAAGCGAAAGGCTGACAATAGCCCAGTAAAAAATGAAAAAGTGAAGCGTTCAGCGTTGGGGAATCTCACGAATAACGTAAAAATGATGACCATGACCAGCACACTGCATCCGGAGGAGGATGCTAAGCAGCAAATCACATTAAAAAAGAAAGACAACCAAATCGGCCAACATGAACAAATATTAAAAGTTCTTGAAACCGTTGGTGGTAATATATTAAATCGGCATACACAACATAAAATTACAACAAGAGCGTCTGCAAAAAGTTTATTAATTGAGGAGACAAATAAAATTATGACATCGGCACCAATAAAACTTAAAAAAAATGGTCCTGTTGAACCACTTGCTCCAATTGCACCTAACATACCAATGCCGATCAAAGTACAAAATAAACCTACACGTCGTATTTCCAATGAATTTAATAAGACTGAAGAGAGCTTATACATGTCCGCCCTTGAAGACATATCCAGTTCGGAATCCGTACGCTTTTCAGGAAATTTTGATGCTGCCAAAAGACGTTCAGCATTAATGCAATGTAAACCTGAGGAAAACCTTAATGGTCTACCAAAAGATGTTGAAGACTTCGATAAATTAAATTGGGATGATCCTTTTGCAGTATCACATTACACAATGGACATTTTCAATTACCTAAAGGAACGTGAAGAAAAATTTCCAATTACAGATTATATGGTAAAGCAAGTAAATCTGTCGAAATGGATGCGTTCTTTATTAATTGACTGGATGGTTGAAGTACAGGAGACGTTTGAATTAAACCATGAGACGCTCTATTTAGCTGTTAAGATAGTTGATCTCTATTTGTGTCGTGTTGTAATTAGCAAGGATAAGTTACAATTGTTAGGAGCCGCTGCACTTTTTATAGCTTGCAAGTACGACGAACGTACACCTCCATTAGTGGACGATTTTCTCTATATATGTGATGGTGCATACAAACACAATGAACTTATAAAAATGGAAATGAATGCGCTCAAAACAATTGACTACGATATAGGCATTCCTTTGTCATATCGTTTCCTACGTCGATATGCTCGTTGTGCCAAAATACAAATGCCCACATTAACGCTTGCACGTTACATATTAGAGTCAGCGTTAATGGACTATGAAACAATAACATTTAGTGATTCGCAAATGGCAGCAGCAACTTTGTTTATGGCTTTGCGCATGACTGGTGAAAAGAAAGCATGGACTTCGACTCTTGAATATTACAGTGGATATAAATTAGAAGAGTTTGCTGAAATTGTAGTAGTTCTAAATGCTGGATTACACCGGAAACCAAAAGCTACAATAAAGACAATAAGAAGCAAGTATTCTCACAAAATATTCCACGAAGTCGCCAAAGTTCCACTAATGACCACTGCAAAATTATTCGAAGATAATTTAGACTTTAATAGTAGTTTTAATTTGGATAACTTAAGCAGTTTCCCGGATTCTAGTTAAAATTATATTTTGTTAATGTTTTTATGTATTTGTTGTTTTGTGTTGTGCAAAAATTTTCTATGTAACAAACATATTTTCATATTATCAATGTAATTACCATTGTCATTACCATTTATAACAATTTATTATTACAACAAATTTATTACATTTATATTTTGTATACTAAGAGTCAATATTATATTTAAATCATTAATTGTGCTTTTAGTTTTTACATATATATATTGTTTAATATAAAGTGATGAAGATATGCGCATACAACATATTTAAAAACAAGAACTAGAACTGAAGAATTTTTAAATTTATTAAATACGCTTTTTTATATACCCAAATGAAATGAAAAGAACCATGTGTTTAGTAAATTAAGATTTAATATATTTTAAAATAAAAGCATTTTGAACATTATAAATTATTTATAATTTAGAAATCGGATAAAATGTGAAAGAATTATTCGAATTATATTATTTTGTTATATGTATTATTAAATAATTTGTCATTTGACTTTTACATATTTTGTTTATGAAATTAGATTATTTTTTAAACTTTTATTTGTTAACATACTTAAGTTTATTATTAGATCGTAAATGTTTTGTTTACTAATTTTGTCACTTATATTATTTAGTTTTATATTTGTTTTTTGACAATATTTGATTTGTTTTATGTTATATTTTTTTTGTTTTAAAACTTTTTGATTATGTAAAAATAAACTTGGACTTAATAATTTTTATGAAAAAAATTTTAGTGAACGAATTATTATTTTATTTGTATTTCGTTTTTCAATTGTATATTTTATATGTCTAGATTTGTATGATAAAATCGCTATTGTTTGAAAGCATTAAAGTGTATAAATACAGTATAACTGGTAAGGAGCTGTAATTGTATTAAGTTAGCAGGGATATGTTATGAAAACTATGGTAAAAGTTCTAAATCGAAATAGTACTTTTTGTGATACTCAAAATGTTTTCAAAATTTTGATTTATAATTACTGCAAACTGCAACGATTAAAATATTGTGCGTAAAACAAAATACTATGATGTATCTTTAACTTCCTTTGTTGTATATTGAGTGTTTATAATTCAAGCATTATTTATATTTATATCGATCCTATTACATATTGAGATCCTATTGAAATAAATTGCCAATTGTAATATATCTATAAAAATCATGTATTATATGTCTGCTACTTATTAAATATGTTGTCATTTGTTATTAATTATTAATTATATTGTAGTTGCTTGAGCATTTTAGTTGGATGTTTGTAATAAATGAAATAATATGTGGGTACCATTATTATAAGACATATTTTTTAAATATTATAGTCATTCTGGCGATTATTGGGAAATAAAGTAATGTTATTTCTAAATTTTTCTTACTAGAAAATTCTTGTAGTAACGTTTTGTTCTTATTTTATTATTTAGATATAAATTTTGCTTTAATGATTGTTTTAGTCGCTTAATTTAGTACGAATGCATGATTCAAGTAGCATTTAAAAATTACAGTATGGAATAGGTTTTAACCGCTAAATTTTGGAAACATAAGGTTGAATGTTTATGTATAGTGTTTCATATATAGTTTAATTGAAATATATAACATTCTAACAGGGCAAAATGCAATTTGACTGTATTTTTGAAAGGAAGTGATTTTCTTTAGCATTTCTAAAATAGTAATAATATGTAGACATAGGTCTGTAATCTAAGAAATACTTGTCAAGCACTCTAACTACCAACACGTGTTTGGTGTGTAGCCACTACTATATATTTCTACAATTGAGTTTGGATGAATTATGCATATGAGTATAGTATACACGATTTCACAATAAAAATCTCTGCATGAGTGGATATCGAATAAACTGTTTCTTATACTTTGTACATCTTTAAACTGTTTCATCAAGGCACAAATAATAAAACCCAGGATTTTAAAATAGTTAGTTAAAACCTATTTACACATTGAAATACGCCATTATAAAATAGTAATAATAATAAATTATAATTCAAATAAATATTTCATTCATGTGTAGAAATTAAACCATCTGTATTTGGTGTGTCAAATATGAATACATCATAGATTAGTAGTACAATGAACTATATTCCTTGTAAAAATTATTACGTATATCTTTTACCTACCTACCATCGTACCGATTGTGTCTTTTGCCCTACTGCAATGCAATTTCTTTCAATGATCAGTCATGCATACATACATATATGTAAATATATGTGTATATATTCAAGTATGAAAAAGGCATCTTTCTGATATTCTTTTATACAATAACGCATGGAAAAAAATGTAAGGATAAGTTTACCTCGATTTGGTGAGCTACAAATTGTATTTGGTATACTTTGTTTGATACGTTTTGCAAAGAAATAAGAAAGATTGTATTAGACAGATGAAAGGGTTTAACATTTGAATAATATGTAAATACAGGTAGATTTCTACAGAATCATTTTTAAAAAATTAATTTTTTGAAACAATAAAAAATTGTAGCTAATTACTATTATAGTAAAAATATAATTCAGTTTTGAAAACTACTACTAACTATAGTGTATAATAGTTCGATGAAAAAGATGAACTAATGTTAAGTGAAATAATCATAAGATAGGATAATATAATGTAAACTATGTATAAAAAAACATATTTTTTTGCTTTGTTTGTTTTGTAGACAATTTAAAACTGACTGATTGCTCATATTCTGGTTCATACGCTTAAGCGGGATAAATGTGCTTAATTATCATTAACATTTTAAACGTCATAATTTTATTTTTTATGTGGCCAATTGTAATATATTTCTTTTTTTCAGAAATTTGTTCTAAATTACGACAAGTTGTAATTCCTATAATATACATAATGTATTGGTCTCTTTAATTACTTCAGACTTTATTAACCCAATGCTCTATATATCAGCTTTTAATTATCAGATAAAATATCAAGTATTTTGTCGGTTTGGCATAAACAAATACAATTAATTAAGAAGACGCATAGGTACTTGTTGTAATTGTCGTAATCTACATACATATATGAACGCTTCATGTCACTAAATTTTATATTTAATTTAATATATATAAAGATCAATATTCTTTTTTTCTGAATGTTAATTTATAAAAAACAAATTTCAAAAACACTCAGGTCAATATTTTTTATTGCTAAATATTAGTTTTTAAAAAACAAATCTGACAGACACCAATATATTAGTTTATTTATAAAATAATATATAGGGAGGTCTATATAATTTATTTCTAAATGTTAATGTTTAAAAAGCATATACCACATGTAAAGTACTACAGTAAAAATTCTCCTAACAAAGACGAATGAAGACAATTTTTTAAGGACGAAATGTTTTTCATTACTATTTCGGGCAAATTAACTATTTTTGGGCGGATAATAATAAGTAAGATATTAATAAGTAAGATAATAATAAGTAAGATAATAATAAGTAAGATAATTTTTTGTTTTTAATTCCTAAATGTAGTGCCAGTGTTTATTGAATCTTATATTAAAAGAATATTAATGATTAGGTTTATTTAAAACAGTTTAAACTGTACTATATGTTTTTCAAACTAAATTTTTTTTAATTCTTAAAAATTTGCCAGTGTTGATAGAATCTTATATTAACAGAAAGTGAACATTATTATTTAAATTATCTCAAAATAATAGAGTGAATATGTGTACATACATAGATATAAACTGTAGCGTAACTGCAAATGTCGTCTTATACCAAACGTTCTATGTTGTCTTTTTTCTAAATATTCAGTCCACAATTTGTTTTTGTAAATATATTTGTCAGTTCCTTTATTATCCTTTTAGTATTCTTATGATATACACATCTGCATACATATATATATACAAAGTAAAAAAAAAAAATATACAAAACACATGTAGTGTGCCAAAAATTTTGCATCTTGCACATTTTCAATAAGAGAATTTCTCCTAGTGTTCGTTATGTATCCTTTTTGTATTATTCTTAAAAAAAATCTATTCGGTTGACCTATTAATAATTAAAAAAAACAAAAGAAAATATGAAATTGTCTCTTTGTATATTTTGGGTCAAAAATAAAAAAAAAAACAGCGTTATATGCTTTTATTAAATCTAAGTTTAAAATTTAGAATCCAGGCCTATTGAAGGCACCATTGTATGTACCACCAAAACCAGAGCCAAAACCTTGGCCGTTATTGTAACTTGTGCCAACATGATGGCCAACCTCTTTATATTCAGTATTAGTCTTAAGTCTATGATCAAATGTGCTGTAACTACGATCGCCTTCATATCTGTGATTGTAGTTATCTGCCGGATAAGGATAACCATTATTATTTCCTTGTGCATGATTTGGATAATGATTGTGATGAAAACCAGTGTTATATTGGCCAGAGTTCGAGTAGCCATTATGTCCATGACCGAAATTACTGTAACCATTAGTTGGGGGATTTGTGGGATTGCCAAAACCGGTATTAGAATAACCAGCATTTTCAGAACCAGTATTGCCATAACCCGTATTGCCGTAACCCGTATTGCCATAACCAGTGTTTCTAAAACCCGTATTAGGATAACCAGTGTTTGTTTGTTTTTCATTTGAATAACCATGAGTACCATAATTGCTATTAGAATATCCAGTGTTTGCATGACCAGTATGACTGTATTCAGTATTTGTATTACCACCTCTTAAGTAATCACCACTGGATTGACCGTGACTATTGTGAGAAGATCCTTCATGACCATAGCCAAAACTATGCTGGCCTGAGTTGGAATTATAATCGGCAGTATTGATATTTGGTTGTGCATTATAGGGATAAGGATTACGTGAATTTATGTTGGAAAATTCTGCACCAGCCAAATGTGCTGTATTTTGTGATCGACTTTCAACATTCGCAGTGTTAATATTTGCCTCATGAGAACAACCTCTTGAACTACAAGGCCCAGGAACTAGAGGACTATTGTGAAATGTGCCTTCAACAGCGTTTTTATTTAAAACGTTAGTAGTTGGTAAACCAATTGTTGGTATGTCTAATGTAGACTTGTGATGCTGACGAGTATTTTCACTAGTACCCATTATTGTACTCACTGCACTATATACCGATTTTGATGTTTCACTGGAATCTTCACTGGTAATAGTACCACAATTGCTTATAGATATAGTGTAGAAAATCACAATGAAAGTTAAAATTTTATTCATTTTAAAAATGATTATAGATTGACCGTATCTAAAATTCAATTATTATTTTTGTTAGAATTGCGCAAATAGACTGAAACGCGTCTTAACCTATTACAGAGGCGAAACTTCTTATTCAATTTTTACGTGTGTTCTTTTCACAGATTATGTTTAATGCCTGAGGTGACTAGGTTATCTAAATATAAATTAAGCATAAGATTTGCAACTGCTTTGAAGAGGCATCAATTAGTAAGCACGTCGTATGTACTCGCCTGTTCGAAAATATCTTCTGTTTATTACAAGACTTTGATCAAGCCCAAGTATTCTATAAAAAAAATGCGGCGATTCATATTTCGTGCTTAATAAAGTAAATCAAATCTCTTGGCATTAAGAATTTTGCTCTCTTGTTTCTACGAAAAATTTATTACTAAATTCACCTCATCATCAATTTTAATAGTTTTTTATATCTTCATTAGCTTTAAGAAACTTATATTATATTTTGAGTAAAATTCGTCATGGAAATTGTAGCTCAACTTAGAGATCATCTGAATGGTCTTAGAATTTTTTTTTAAATTCTAAGAATCAAATCTTTTCTAATATGAGAAGTCAAAATTTTTTTGTATTTCGTTTTGATGAGATTTACTTCCAAGAATTATTTTTATGACAAATATTTTATATTTGTGTTAGTTTGTATATATATATATAGTAATTCCAAAAAAATTTGCATCTTATTCATACATCGAAAACACATATCAAGTTTATTTTCAAGGATGGACAATTTAGAAACAGTCAAGAAGGACCGAAAAATATCACGATATATTTAGTTATTATACTAAGGCTCGATTTTACATTCATAACATAAGTCTCAATACTAACTTAAGAAGTGTTTTAGTGATCCACTTTATTGATTTAATTCATACTTAAGTCAGTTTCAAGAAATAAGTTACAATTGTGAAATTGGCCTTAATATCTTAAGTAATATCTTACTTATTACTAAATATCTTGTTCAAATAGAGTCAAAAGAAAGTATACGTACTAGTTCAATTTTCAGAAACTATATCACATAGTTTTTCTAAACAAATATCTTGATATTGTGGTCTTAATATTATTTACAGTGTACTAATGTAGGATGACGAGATATTAGTTATATTCAAATGATCTAATATAACACTTGAGCATTAATAACTTTTCACAACACTTACTATGTTCATTTAATTATACGATATTACGGCACGATTGTGATTTTCCAGGCATGCCAATTAGATAATGGATTTTATTGAGATAGCTGTTTCTAGCAACATTTTTGAAAATTAAAGTTATATGGAAATCACAAAAAGCTGTTTGGTGTGTCGACTTGTTAGTTTTAAATTGTTAAGAATAATTGTTGTTTAAAAATAAAAATTCGGCTCAAATTTTTTACACAACAATCAATAGTACAAAATACCAGATAGCTAGATGTTCCACCTAAATCATGACACCAACTATTGTCATGGTCATTCACATAAACTATATAATTATTTATTCCGGTCATATTTTGGAATTCTTTAACATTTATTAACTAAACTAGTCGATTTAGCTGTAATTATGCTTTACAAGTTAGTTTCACAATTAAGTTTAGTAACAATTTAGTGTTCTATATTAGGCACTAAAGTGTGACTTAAATTCAAGTACATGTGACAATAGTGTAAAATCAACACTTAAGTTTGTCTTTAAATATAATCACGGTTGCCACTTATGGTACTTTAGTACCAAAATTGGTACTTTTTTTTCCGTTTGGTACTCTGGTACTCATGTTCAAAAAATGGTACATTTTCGGCGACCCAACTTTATTGTGGATATTGTATTGTTTTATACTTTTTGTACATTTTATATAAATTGTATTTTCTTATAAAAAGACAATAGAAAAATTTTGGACCTTTTTTTACAGAAATGGTACCTTTTTAAACCAATTTTGGTACAGAAAAAAATTTTCAAGTGGCAACCGTGAATATAATGGCATTAAAAAAATATACTCTTTCGCTATGTTCTTAATAAGAAAGATTTTACTCTCTTTCACGTACTCTCTTAAGTACCTTTCTATACTAAAAATATATATAAAGAGAAAAAAATCTTAAACTCAAATTATTTCTGAAATTCACAAGAATTTTAATTTGTTGTTATCAAGGACTTTTCCTTGAAAAAGTATAAATATTTTTTTGTATTATTTAAGAGACTCCATTCACTAAACTTAGACAAGAGGTCAATTCTTATCAATCAAATTTCATAAATATTATTCTCACAAAATGCGATTTATAAGCGCTACGAATTTCGCAAATTGTTTATTTATAATTGAATTAATAACACTTAAACAAGTCTTTATTAATAAATAATAATTATTTAATGAATAAAATTAAAAAATTGTGAAAATGAAAATAATATTTCTTATATTTGCTTGTGAATTGTTTGTAGTTATAAGTGCACGTCCTACTTTCGATAAAATTGCTGAATTGGTGCTAGATGCTGTAGGTGAAAGCGTTTACCCTACCCGAAATGCTTATCCAGCAGCGCATCAAAGTAGTTATGGCTATCATGGCGGTTACGGTGGTTATCAATATGAACATCAATATGGAGAGGATAGAGAGGGAGCTGGGTATCAACAACAAGGTAGTAGTTACGGACCTCCGCCATATTACCCACATCCGAATAGATATTTAGAACCGCCACGACCACCTCCAGCATATTTACCTAGTCCACATATAAAACCTCAATATGGATATGGCCATCATGGGAATCAATATAATCAACATAATTACAGAAATGAGTACAGTGATCCGGCATTGAATGAATATCCAAGTAATAGAAATTATGGATATCAACAACAGCCAACTTATTATGCACAAGGTCACAAAACTGATGGGATTTTGTGCTAAAAATTTTTAAAGAAATTTTTATTATATTTATTTTCAAATAATTTTAAATTAAAAATATTGTATGTATAATTATTTATTTATATAAAAAAACATATTTAGTTATAATAAAAATTATTATATTTCGTGAGTATAAAAATTCACTTCATTCAAACACGATTGTTTCGTTTTAATGGTAGGGTTGTGTGAAAGTAGTCCTTGCTTGTATCAACGTGGGTCAATACCAATTGAGTAATTCTGCGACAGTTCTTCTTTATCTCTGATATATAAATCCGAATCAGGATATATAAATTTAAGACATAAAGTAAAGCTACTGTTGTGGTTTCTATGTATTAAATTAGATGAACTGGGATCATTTTTATCAATTTTGTTTGTTGGTTTTAAAGTCGATTCTGTTGTAGTTCCAATATATTCAAATTCATCGTTTGGATTAAATGGCTGTTCGTCAGGCTTATTATAATATCCATTTGGTATATTAAACTCGTCAGGATTATTGTTAGGATGATTTCGGTTAAATTGATTATAATGTGGCATATGTCCATGACGATTGAAAGATCCATGTTGTCCATGATGACCTTGGTGTTGATTTGGACCACGTTGACCATGGTGGCCATGTTCAAATGGAGGTGGCATAAAATCTGGTGGGCTATGGTGTGGTGGATGTCTATCATGACCTCCACCATGAGATCCATGTTCAAATGGTGGTGGCATAAAATCTGGTGGGCTATCGCGGGGTGGAGGCCTGTTATGACCTCCAGCATTAAATCCATTTTCAAAAGGCGGTGGTATAAAATCTGGTGGGCTATCTTGTGGTGGAGGTCTATCATAACGATTATGTGGGGGATTAAATCCAAAATTATTATTTGGTGGAACCATAAATGGCTGATGTGAGTTTGCCGGTGGATAATGAGCGTTATTCACTGGACCTCTATTTGGTGGTGGACCATATTGGTTAAATTGATTTCCTGAATTTGGCCACCATGTTTGTTGATTTAGATTAGATTGTTGTCTTTCTTGATGATTTCCTGTCAATATATTTAATGGATTTAAAGTGGCAATTTTATTATGCACTAAATTAAATCCAGGTAATTTATTCCAGTTTAAACGCGGTATTGTCGGTAAGTTTGGTAAGGCTACACTGGCCCCTAAAGTTAATCCGCCAATAGATACTTCAGCATTTGTTTCACTAAATTGTGCTTCGCTTAATTGCATATGAAATATTCCCAATAAAATCAATACTATAAAACAAAATGTGTTCATCTTTTCGATAGTTTATTATTCCCGTTCATTTACACATAAAACTACTTTCCGCTTTTAATCTGTGACACTGATTGTTCAACTAACTATCTTTGACGTCGTCAGTCTACATCTCAACTGATTTTACTCATTTTCAATTCAATATTAAGAAAACAAAAATGATAACAATTCCTATAGCAAAGAAAAATCAAAAATTATTTTTAACCTGAAATTATTATTGATTCATTTTTTTTCATTTTATTAAAGTGAAAAAAAATTTAATCAGTTGTCAAATCTTAAAACTACCCTACAACAGTAGTAAATATTTAATATTATATTTTAAAACCAATTTTATTATAGATATGTTCAAAAACAAAAATGCCACCCATATCTTCAGTCACAAACAATTCACATGAGTCTACATATCTTAAGATTACAAGACGTTGGGCTTACTTAATAATGCTTTAATTAGAGAGGGAGAGAAACGTTAAAAGTATGTTTCATTTTTTTTTTGAATAAAAGGCAGCACTGGTCCAATGGTTCTAATGAGAGTGGGTAAAAAAAACACTCTATTGCAAAAGAGGCTTAAAGCAACATGAACAGGAAATACAGGTATGCTTAGGTCTTACATGGATTGTTATGGTGAAAAAGAAAAAGCACAGACAGCGCAACAACTTTTATTTTTTAAGGCAGTCGATAGGCCGCTACAGAACATTAATTTTTTAGAGTGTTCTGTTTAGGGTAAACAAGAGGGTTAATTTCAATCTAATATATAGTATATATTCTAATAAATATTCTAATATATATAGTATATAATATATATGTATTAATATAGAGATGTTCAACTATGTTTTCATGGTTATATGGTTCTTCTTCTTAATTCCTTTATCTCTTTGTGGAGTATACGACCTCGATGGTTCTAATTATTTATGATATTATTCGATTTCATTTATTATTTATTTATTGATCAAAATTCTAATTATTGTTTACATGATAATATTGGCACAATGTATTATAAAAGATGTCGCATAGCTTAATGGCATATATTTAGATTATTCTTAAATTCAAGAAAAAAAAAATTGTATGACTGGAGAGGGGTCATTTGTGGTTTTATATTCATTATTAATCTAAATACAAACTGTACAGAAAATTCTAGAAGTAGTTACACAAACAGTAAGTAGTTTAATTTAGAGAGCTATTATTGGAAAGTAAAATAAATTAGTTAATAAAAAAATTACAATAATTTTTAGATAAATAATACTTTCTTAAAGAATAACCAAATATTTTTTATAAAAATTTTATTTTGAATAATAATTAATTAAATTATATTTAATGAACTTAAAATTGATAAATTACTTAACCTATTTAAGTAAATCGTGTTTAATATTATATATTTTACGATATTTTCCTTATATTGTATTCTTTCCTTTTACGATATACACGAAATTCCAATTGATATTAAAAATAAACTCACTCCCCTATAAGATTTTCTTTAATTCCTTAATTTTAATCATATTCTGTATTTATATTTTTTAGTTGGAAAGTACGGTTCAGTACAAAGATATATCAAGTGATTTAATTTTAATGAACTTGTATGTAAAAATTAGGATTTGAGTTAGGTCGTATTTGAGATTTAGGGATTTATATGAATACATGCTTTTTAATACATAATAAAATTTCCACTATAATTTCCACTGTATTTCGGTAAATATTAAAAACGGAACCCGTCTTCATCTAAATGTTTTTTTTTTCGTTTACATATTTCAATATTTAAAAACTATTTAAAGAAAATTTAATTTTTTAAAATCGAGTTCGAGTAAATCGAGGTAAAGTAAATTAAAATTTTCTAGGGGTTTTTTGCACTGCATTTATGTAATTATTTATTTATATTGCACTTATTTATTATTTTTGGTTTAAAGTTTATTTAATTTTATTTATTTATTTATTAAACATCTTATAAAATTTTTACAATGGTAATATCTAATTTACCTTGCTCGAAATTCTGGTACATACCAACATTTGCTGCCATATGACGTAATTTACTATTTCCCTCAATTTACCATCAATTTACTCTAACTCGCACGCGGCCTTAAAGACTATTTTAAGAAAATTTAATTTTTTAAAATCTACTTATTGTATTATAATTTTACTTAATCATTTTCACAAAAGTAGCTCATTGTTATGTTCGTTGTAAACTGCATTTATTTATGTTTTAGAATTGTTTGTATAATTTTTTTTTAAGAATTATTAAAAAAAATTATTATGTAGTTTTTTTGTTTCATTTATATGGGGGATACCCTTTTTGGTATATATTATAATTACTCGTAGATTTTTAAATTTTTACTAAAATAACCAATAATAATATTAACGATTACATGAGGATGAAGTAACGAAGTAATGAAGTAATAAAATCCAGTTAAGGTTAAGTTTGGTCCATGCCAATGTACTTTTGTGAACTTACGATGATAATTTTTTTAATACGAGTAAACAATCATTTACAGATTTACAGATTCCTTGTATTGAAGTTTACTTAGCCATCCATGGTCAATGTCAACAACTTGTCAATTTCATTTTCTGTTTGAATATTTTTTCCAGTTCTTGGGTAAACTCAAAAAAATCAACAGGTTTCTACAAAATAAAAAGATACCATTTGGTATCTTCCAAGCAAATGCAAAATCTGTATTTTTTTTCAATTTCATTAAGATGTACGCGGTTAGATGCGCATGCGCACGTGATCGGAATACTCTTTGAGTCGTTACGTTGTGTAGTAACTGTTTCGATCTAACTGATCGAGTTATTAATATTAATTTGAAAGAATAGCAAAACAGAAAAGATACAAAAATAATGTGCAAAAGCATGCGAAGAGAGAGGAATGAAGACTTAATGGTTAGTCATGCTCGTAAAGTAAAGTCGTTGACCAATTCTTTTGCAGAAAGAAGAAAAAGTAAATAACATTAAAATCGCATAAACCAGCAATTACCGATCGTTGCAGATATGCTAATGGCATTTGTTTAGAAAGATTTCAGGAGAAAAGGAAATTAATATATCGCAGAAACAGAAATGAGTGTTCTTAACCACAACGTTATCTGAGCACACAGTTGGAATAACATTTGGATGTACATATAACAGTACAAGAAGAAGAAGAGAAGTACAAGAATCCAGCTGAATGTTAAGCAAATATTCGCTATATAAATATGCAGTGAGTACATAACAATTCATGCAGTCGAGAACTTACAATCTTCCTTGTAAGAACAGCGGATTTAAGCGCGGATTTAAAATTGTTCAACAAAATCAATATGAGAATTTCAATAGGTTTGCTGTTCATTGTATTCGCGTTGTGTATGGAATTATCAACAGGTTTACTATTACCGTTCATAAAATCTTTGAAAGGTTATCATAATTATGGTCATCGTTATGCAGGTGGTTTTGGAGCTTATGGCTATGGTGGCGGTTATGGTGGCTCGCGTCGTTCCTATGGCGGTGGAAGACGTACTGGCAGAACATACAGCGATATAGCACGAGTTATTAATCCAAATCCTTATGCATTCGTTGGACGTAGTCCTTATCCAGGACAGCCATTTTGGCCCCAAGGCTAAATCGAAAAAAATTAATATAATTTTGTGTAAATGTTTAAATTTTATTTTGTGTGAGTGCGTAAGAAATTCTAAAATAGTTACATAGATGAAAAAAATTAGTTAAGTTAATGTAAATAAAAAATAAAAAAGAATTTATAGTTAAATATAAAAAAAAATAATTTTAAATGAAAT